CAGATGAAAAGTCCACTAGGATTTGGAATTCCCCTGCAATATGAAGTCCAAAAAATCTAAAGAGTTGGTGTGTGCTGTGACTTCGTGGATGTGAAGGTAGAAGAAGAAGAAGGGTGTTGCTGAAGGGTGCTAAGGCTGAAGCTTTGCTGCCGACCAGAGCAAATTGTGTGAGAGATAGAAGATGGGTGATAGGTTTTGGCGTCTGATAGGTTTTGGAGTTTGGGCTTTTCGCGGGTAATTTTGGTTTTAATAGGAGAGAAAAAGAGAAAAAAGAAAGAAAGAAAGAAAGGGTGTTTTGGCATTTTAAAAAATTAAATATGGGTATTTTCGGCATTTTAAAAGTTTCATTAAAGGGAGCCAAGTGCTTCCCGTGTTTTTGTCCTGCAGCGCTTTTATGAAGAAGCACCTCTCAAGTGCTTCTTCCAAAACCACTCCAAGTGCTTTTGGATCTCACCCAAAGCGCTTTGGCAATTTTTGCCAAACACCATTTTTAAAAGACAGAAGCGCTTTCACCCATTTAGAAGCGCTTTTCGCTGCTCCAAAAGCACTCCCAAACGAGCCCAAGTTAATTAGGTGATTTACTTCCTTGTTTTATATAGTTGACACATCCTTGTATAATTAGGAGATATTCTCCTAATTAATTACTGTATTTATTTCCTTGTAAAACACCCTTGTAAACTCCTATATATACTTCCTTATGGAGAAGAATACAATTAACCTAAAGTATTCAAACAAAATATCATATTTTAGCATGGTATCAGAGTAATCGATCCTAGGTTGTTTGTAAGCCTTCAAATCCTACCCTGAAATTCAAACCCAAACCCTAAATCAAATTCCTTACATTTCAAATCAAATCCTCTTATCAAACTCCTTAAACACATACCTCTCAAATCAAATTCATACATCAAATTCCTCAAATCAAAATCCTCAAATTCTCAAATCAACTCCTTAACCACAAACATACACTCATATCAAATCTTACTTATGCTGCGATGTCAGGACCCCCTACGATTCTCTCCTTCCTTGCATACTCACAGAAACATGCAGTTAATCTTGCTAAACCGGTTACCCGGGCTCGTGCTTCTATTGCCACCACCAACGGTTCTATTTTTCATACGTTTCTCCAAAGCCCACATGGATTATTGACTTGGGTGTTATGGATCACATGACATTTGATCCTGGCCAACTTATTAGTCGCCAACCATCTACTTAGTCGGTGGTGTCTAATGCTAATGGTACCCACTCCCCTGTGGTTGGGGAAGTCTCTATCTCTCTCTACCTCGATACATATGGATTATGTATTGATTGTTCCATCCTTGGACCATAACTTGTCTGTTGCACAACTTACTATTACTTTGGGGTGTACTGTAACATTTTGGCCGAATCATTGTGTTTTTTTCAAGACATCCTCAAGGGGAAGACGATTGGTTGTGGTACTAGGCAGGGCAAACTCTACTACTTGAACTAGGCACCAGATAGTGAGACCAAGTTTAGTCAAGTTTTCACAACAAATGGAGCTAGTTCTGAGAAGCAGAGAGACAAAGTTTGGTTATGGCATAAATGTCTTGGGCTTGCCTCGTTCGGTTATCTGAAGAAGTTGTTTCCATCATTATTCCAGTTTTGATATTTCCAGCTTCTAGTGTGATACGTGTGAATTGGCTAAGAGCCATCGTATTCCGTTCCCATTAAGTACAAATAAAAGTTTGGTTCCCTTCTCCCTGATTCATTATGATGTTTGGGGGTTTGCTCAAATCACTACTCCGGCTGGAGCTCGATGGTTTGTCATTTTCATTGATGACTGCACCCGAATGACCTGGGTTTCCCTTCTCAAAACCAAAGGGGAAGTCAGTTTAACGTTTCAACAGTTCCATAAAATGGTGGCGACTCAGTTTCATGCCTAAATCCAAGTTCTTCGTTCTGTCAATGGCGGAGAATTTCTTAATGATGATCTCAAAAAATTCTTACAGGATCATGACATCATACATCAACGCTCCTGTCCATATACTCCCCAACAAAATGGGGTGGTTGAGCGAAAGAACCGACATTTATTGGAAGTCGTTCGTGCATCTTTATTTGTACATTTATTGGAAGTTGTTCGTGCATCGTTCGTGCATAAATAGGATTCCCTCAATTATCTTGAATTTTCAAACTCCTCTTCAAACACTTCACCACCATCTCCAAATACCTCCCACCCTAAACCTTGAACCACGTATTTTCGGCTGTGTTGTATTCGTACACTTACATGATCACCAACGCAATAAATTGGATCCCCGCATAGAAAAGTGTGCTTTCATTACTTACATGATCACCAACGCAATAAATTGGATCCCCGCATAGAAAAGTGTGCTTTCATTGGCTATGCCCATCATTAGAAAGACTATCGATGTTATCACCCTCCAAGTCAGAAGGTCTATACCTCCATGGATGTAGTGTTTCGAGAACACAACATATATTTTTCAGAAGCATATGAGGAGAATCTAAAGCCAAACACCTCGAATTTTCTAGACTTTTTCACAACGGAAGAGACTTAACATCAAAGCGACTGGTTGCCCCTCTAACACAACCGGTCGCCTCCTTTTATCCGTGCACATGAGGCGTCTTTGCCTTAAAGCAACCGGTCGCTAGTCCCACACGATTGGTCACTACTACAAAAAGTGAAAAAGACGACGGTAGAAGAAAAAACTGTCGTTGTGTTTAAAAAGACGACGGTAACAAAAAACCGTCGTGGATAAGTGACTTAAACAACTAAAAAACGGAGGTACTGTTGAATATTTTTTTATAACGACGCACACAAATAAAAAAGCGTCGTCTTATTAAAAAGGTTTTCTTCAGAGTTAAAATTTGACCAAAAAACAACGACAGCAGGTATGACAAGCGTCGTCTTTTAAAAATCAAAGTGTCCTTTTTTTGGTAAAGACATGGTTGTTTTGAAAGAACTGTCGTTTATTATATGTAAAGATGACGGTTTTTTTTAAAGAAGGGTCGTCTATTGTGAAGTAAAGATGACAGTTTTTTTTTTTAAAAGGGTCGTCTATTATATGTAAAGATGACGGTTTTTTTTTTAAAAAAGGGTCGTCTATTATATGTAAAGATGACGGTTTTTTTTTTATAAAAAAAAGGTTGTCTATTGTGAAGTAAAGATGACGGTTTTTTTTAAAAAAGGGTCGTCTATTATATGTGAAGATGACGATGTTTTTTAAAAAAGGGTCGTCTATTGTGAAGTAAAGATGACGGTTTTTTTTAAAAAAGGGTCGTCTATTATGAAGTAAAGATGACGGTTTTTAAAAAAAAAGGGTCGTCTATTATATGTAAAGACGATGGTTTTTTTTTATATTTATAAAAAAGGGTCGTCTATTATATGTAAAGATGAAGGTTTTTTTTTAAAAAAACGTCGTCTTTTAAAACACGCTAAAAAAAGGCCGCTTAAGTGAATTCGTGCTCGACAAATTTTCAAATTTTCCCCGTCTTTGAAAACCCTATCTCTCATTAACAAGCGTCGTCTTTTAAAACACGCTAAAAAAAGGCCGCTTAAATGAATTCGCGCTCAACAAATTTTCAGATTTTCCCCCGTCTCTAAAAACCTTATCTCTTCCTCCTTGAAACCCTCCTGAGCTCTCTAAAACACCCTCATGAAAGGTTTGATTTGAAAGTGACTTTATCTCTCAATACCCTTCTATGTCTTGCTAGTGAATTCTGGATTAGTCTCTTTGCGTTTCTGGTATGTTTTTTGTCTCCATGATTTCAGA